AAAAAACAATTTAATTGCCGTATAAACATTTACAAATGAATGGCTTTTTTTTAACGTTGATGATCTGTATGGTACAAAACATTGGGGATCGTCTGAACCGCAATTGTCATCGAGGCTATTTGGCTAAGGTATTAATTGATATGCTCTAAAAACAGCCCACCAGCCAGTGAAATGGTAAAATTTGTCTCCCCCTTTTTTTTTTTCTTGTAAAAAGATTTTAACAAAAATAAACAAATTTTTTATTTTACTTTTTATTCTTAATTACTTTGTTTAATAGCTTTTATTAAACTGTTATCAGCTTTTCAACTATAAACCAAAATTTTACTCATATGAAACAAAGAATTTAATCTACATTTTTATTTGATGCACTAAACTATACAGTAACAGTAATGCAACAATTATTCAAAAGGCTAATGATGACAACACACGACATACGAATGTCTAGCAAGATGTCTTCATCCAAAAAATTATCAAGGTAGCCTAGCAAAAAGAAGAAAAAAAAATCAGTTTTTTAGCATCTTACAAAAAAAAAAAAAGAAAACTTCTTTTACAATTTTTTTTTTACTCTAAACCGTTTCTTACTGTTAACGTCAAAACCTTAACGTTTAACTGAAATGTTACGAAATGTTATCTGCAATAAAAAACCATTAAAAAAACAATTTCACTGTCTTTCAATCAATTTATTCAATATTTTTTGCCGCATAACAGCTTTTCATTAATGATAATATCAATACTGCAGTAGATAACTGGTTATCAAAAATGCAAATAGATAGTTGAATGGTTTTGTATAAAATAACTATTGACGCAGAAGAACCTTAACAATACAATTAGCATTGAATATAAATCAAAAATTACAAGAAACTGACAATAAAAAGTAAAAAAAATTTTTTTATTGTATTTATTCTTTTAACAATCGTTAATTAGGGTATAATAAAGATATCGTTACTGAAACAAATAGAACGACAGAAATCATCAACGATTATACCTGATTACCTTTTGAACTCTCAAACTGCCTAAGACCAGAGAAAACAGATATTTTGTATACTTAAGTTTGCCTAGGAGAAACTTCTTTTATTTATTTAAAAGCCACAACTTCACTTAATCTTTTCAGTTACAAGTCACCACACCACTTGTATTCTAGGAATGTTCAATTAAAGATTCAGAAGACGGTCTATGGTGTAAGTGCATCCAAAATTTCGTCGACAATTTCCAAAGAAAACAATGTAGAAAATCTTGAGAAAAAAATTTTTTTAATGTTTTTTTGTCTTGCAGAACAGACGATTTATTTAGGCAAACTCGTCAGTAAACGTCCTCTTCCATTAAACGCTTTTCTGATTTTGCAAATTCCATAAAAGCTTAAGTTTTTTTTCCTAAATTAATAATTTGTCATTACGTTTTTGTAGGCAGTCAAGGTCAAACCTAGGTGTATTTTTAAATTTTTTTATGTACTGCTTTAATCGGCTAATTCGTTTGTTAATAAAAAAAAAAAGAAGTGTCATTTTTTTTAAGCCGATACATTTTTGACTGAAGTAATTAGTGTACTTGCCCCTAAACATAATAAATGCCTATATCGACAAAAGAATAAAATGTAAATTATATTTAGTTTTTTAGTACATTTTTTAAATGCTGTTTTTTTACTAATTATGATCAAATTAACAACTTGAACAAGTAAACGGTTTAAAAAATCTGTTTTAACTTTCAAAGCTGTTAATCAGTGATAATCTGCTGCAGAAAAACTGGAATCTATTGTTGTAAAGCTCAGGTCTTAAGAACATTTCTTCAACACTTTATCATGCTCTTGCACCATTTTGTTCATAAAAATGCGGTAGCTTTGTGCGTAATAAAATACTTTGAACTGAAGAATTGTAGAGGCAGTTTCGTGATACTTCCGATAACTTATCAAACTCTTTGCTTAATTGACTCATAATCCATATTTTCAACTGTAACTTTTGGTAGATTTTGATAACACTAACATACAGCTTGTTTATTGTATGTTTGCAGATGACTTGCATGATACTGAAGAATTGTATAAGTACGTTTTATTGTACTAAAAAACCGTTAGCCACATACAACCATATTGAATGTTCTATGTACCAAAAATGACTCAAAATCCACCTTGTAATCAGCTAGTCCTAAAAAGATTTGTAATTTTGTTTCTTATTCTTCTCTCTAAAAAGTTTCCAGTTTCCTTTCTAAAAATTCTAAAACTGACATAACCTCTAGCGCAGAGAAGTTTGAAAAAACCTGAGCATCTGATGTGCCTGGCAAAGACAACTTTTTGTTTCGCGTTTGTTGAGAAGCGGAAAGCACGTTGTCTGGGAAATAAGAACAACAAAAATTGCTACGATTGAACATTTTTACTA